GATTATGACTCTACACAAGTCTGACTGCTCAGGTGGCACTTTGACCCACTCTTCTCCTCGCCTAATGTTCTCAAGGATGCAGACCTGTCTGATTGTGTCTTCTGCCTGAGCCATCCATGACTCCCTCTTATCAGCCGCTGAACCTTAACTGCACCCAGAGCTTCATGCAGAGGGTGGTCTGTGTCTGCAGCTACCCTGAGATATGACTTCGCCTGCAGCACCCTGTGCCTACCTGCAACAATCGGCAAACCAAGGATGTATCGCATACACTGGGGTGTCTCTGGTGCAGCCCAGAATGACCCGCATAGCCGCGTTCTGTATTCGCTCTAGTTTGTCCATCTGACTCTTTGAGACTGTAGGCAATCCCAGACCATAATCCACCACTGACAGGATCAGGTGCTGATATAGTGTCGCTTTTAGCTCCCGAGCTGTTTGTTCCCTCTTGCTCGTATTCACGTTAAAGAGCACAGGCGAGATGGCTGATCCCTGTGACAGTCCTGGGGCCAAAGTGCATGGTTCTGAGGTCCATGAGCCCAGTCGGAAAGCAACCCGACGTGAACACAGGACAGCTGCAACCCAATTCATCAGCCATGGACTGACCTCCTTCTCCCTCAGTGCAGTCATTAAAATGTCGTATCTCACTCTGTTATAAGCATCATCGAGATCCAGTCCTACCGCCATAGTTTTCTGTCTGTTCTGGTACCCTTCATAGACGTCAAAAGCAAAAGTGGCCGCATTTGCCCAAGTGTCCTTTCCTGGCCTGTAGCTACCCAGATCTCTTGGGAGAAGCTTCCCCCTTTCCACAAAATCTTGTAGCTTTACAGCAACTATCTTCTCTAAGATCTTCCCAAATGTGTTTTGTAAATTGATGATTCTAAAGCCACTAAGCTTAGAATGGTCTTTAAAAGGTTTTGGCAGTGGGATTAGTTAGCTGTGCACCCAGTCCTGCAGTACTGATGCTGTCTCAATGCTCTGATTAAAACAGTCGGCCATCTCTGCCAGGTCTACATCGCTCAAAGGCTTCAGGAGTTTATAGCCTCGACTTTGTCCAGCAAAAAAAACATAGATGTGATTGGTTTACTGTTTCAGGTTCGGTGTCAGATGGCTGATGTGAAAAGTTTCATGCACAATTTTTACTGCGAAATAAAAGAATGTGCTGGGCAGAGCATTTTTAGATTTTCATTATCTTATCGACATACTTTCACACACGCAGACGCGAACACACAGTCACCTATGAATATGTGTGTGTGTGTGTGTGTGTGTTTGTGTGTTGGTGTGTGTGTGTTGGTGCGTGTGTGTTTGTGCGTGTGTGTGTGCTTAATTTACAGAAGGAGAAGAAATGAGTGAGCTGGACAGCCACTGATTCCAGCGGTTGTAAGAAACTCTTACATTCCTAGAGGGCTGCTGATTCCAGCGGTTGTAAGAAACTCTTACATTCCTAGAGGCCGCTCATTCCAACGGTTGTAAGAAACTCTTACATTCCTAGAGGGCTGCTGATTCCAGCGGTTGTAAGAAACTCTTACATTCCTAGAGGGCCGCTGATTCCAACGGTTGTAAGAAACTCTTACATTCCTAGAGGGCTGCTGATTCCAACGGTTGTAAGAAACTCTATTCCTAGAGGGCCGCTGATAATAATGGTTCTAAGGAACAGACATGTCCAGAAACTTCTAATGTCGGACTGTTTGTGTTACCACTTCTGATGGCTACTGTATGCTTTTAATGCGTATATATGCTAGTGCATATGCTGATACAGCAGTCTGTCACTCCCTCCACAAGGGACGGTGATGACCATTCTGTGTGTTTTTCGTTGCCACAGGAGCGGAGCAACTATGGGGTGACCCATTTGCTATGAAGCTGAAACCAAGATTACTAAGATTGCCTACCATATCCAGAACCTACTTTACTGCCGTGAAGACATTTGGTTCGATCGTAGGCTCGTGACAGAAATGGTCTATCCCTAAACACATCTAGATCAACACCGTCTGGGTTTAAACGTGGGTCTTATCACAGGTCAACAACAACAAAAATCACTGCGGCAGCTCACCTGGGCGAAAGGGCTTCAGGTTATTAACGCTGTCGTTTACATGTCCCCAAGGCTTACGGTACTAACCAGGGTCAGAACCAAACAGACCCTCCCCCCTCTCCTTTTTTCAAGTTCTTTCCGATGCCTCTGTCCCTTACAGTTTGACTGCTGTGCTTCCTGGCGGCTGGTGTGAGCGGACAGACCTCGTCACTTAACCAAACAAAACCCGTCGCGAACAACTTCGCTTAAAGCAATGTTTGACACACAAATGGATTGCTACCCTCTCCTCTTTTCAAGTTCTTTCCGATGCCTCTGTCCCTTACAGTTTGACTGCTGTGCTTCCTGGCGGCTGGTGTGAGCGGACAGACCTCGTCACTTAACCAAACAAAACCCGTCGCGAACAACTTCGCTTAAAGCAATGTTTGACACACAAATGGATTGCTACCTAAGTCGACACCACAACTAAAAACCGGCTAACACGGAAATTGTCATACAGTCCCAATAAAGACGCTACTTCACAAATACCAGTCGCTAATCACAACGTCTAGTTTGAGAATGGAGGTGGAGGCATTCACTGCTGCCTACCGCTAGCTTGAGAATCAGCTGTATACACATGCTGTGATTGTCACTGACTCACAGAGCATGTTGAGAAAGGTGGAGACAGGCAAGCTTCGTGCAGAGTGGCAGGCATTACTTCAAAGATCCCGGGTAGTTAGTATCGTTTGAAAATTCTCTCCAGGTCCTGCCGATGTTTCAGGAAATGAGCAGACAGATAGACTGGCCGGTTCTGCGCTACTTGGTGGTGTACTGATGTATGACAAGCTAGACTTTGTGAGATCCTTCTGGGAGCCACTGAACAGTACGGAGGCGCAAATTGATCAATACGGTCTGGGGAGAATGGCTCTGCGAGGAGTTACAACAGGATCTGGCCGACGCTCAGCACTCAAGGGAAGGGCGAGATGGAAAATGACGCAGGCGTCTTACATTCGAACTTCCATCTTTCACACAGCAGTTGTATTAATGCAACTAAAGCGCAAACCATGACATCCAGCCATAGATTTCTTTTCTAACAATCTTGACTTCTCTGTCTTCTTGCTCACTGTGACTCATTTGTCACTAAAGTTTTGAAAGCTGAGATTCATTTCTGATTCATAACAATCTTGTACTTGTTGTACAGTATGTGTGGAAGTTCCATACTGTACACTGGAACGAATATGGTTTGACATCTTTTTGAGTTTATCACCGTAAATAATAATGGCTAGGTATACACATACCTTATATTTCCGTAATGTCAGTAAATTTATTGCCCTGTTTAATGACAATTCTTTGTTTATGGTTTATGGCTTATACTAATCAAGCCTGAGTGCGAAGAATCTTGGAGGTCCTGGGTTCAAGCCCCGGTGAAGGATAGGATTTTTTGACGTTAACTTCTAGTAATTTCCCCTGGTCTCTGGGTTGTAAGAACGAATCCCCGTGTGCATTGTCGCGCCCATAAACAAAAATCCCTTAGCAGTAGAAAATCGACAAGAGTAGCCTAATGGCGGTGCCTGGGCAAAATTTGAGTTATAAATCTATCTAAAGCATTTCAGAGTTCCCGCCGGTGCTACAGAGCCTGTGCACTGTGCTGAGCTTCTTCGGACTCAGATATGAGTTAGAAAAAAGAAAGAAGCACACATGGGTTACTACCCGTGTGCCGTGACGTTGATTTGTTGTTCAAGCTTTAAACTTCAAACTTCTGAGATCATCTTTATGACAAATCAGACATGACACTAAGTGCTTCGATCTCCTCCTGAGTATGTCTCCAAGTGTTTTTTAGGCTCAAATCTCACATTATGTTCTGACTAATATAATGTCGGGTGGCTCCAGTATGGTTTTTCTGTCTCACTGGTACACCAAGGGTATGCAGTCTATTCAGTGAAAAATAATTTTCCACGAAACTGAAAGCCTTACATCCTTTAGTCTCTCGTATGACATTGATGACGTCTCTCCTGTCCATAGAGGGCCCTTTCCTGATAGTCGCAGTGCCAGCCAGATCGTCTGCTCTCTCGTTGTTTGTCACACCAGCATGGCCTGGGACAGAAATGTAGGCAATTATGCTAAACTCTGCGTGCTGTATCAGATGGAGCCACTGTTTCCGTGTAGGTCCCGCCTGGATCTTCTGTCGCATGCTCACGGAGTCACTGAGCTAACATGCATTGGTGAACTCCTGAGTATTCTGCCATTCTAGGTAGGCAGTTGCTTTGCTGGAGAGAAAACACCGCTTTATGAAAACAGCAGCATCTGTGCAGTTGTAAATTATAGAATCATAATGACTTTGAGAATCTATAGCCACGTGTAAAAATAATAGTCCTTATGATCCGTACTATAGTTTTCTAGATATGTGTGATCGTGTGAGGGAACGAGTTTCAAAACGCACTATTATGCAAGTGCAGTCACTACTGTTTTCATTGAAGTAAAGGACCATTTCCACGCTTTTAGGCATATAGGGCTATATTTTGTAGACCAATCGGCACAAGATAGGTAATGCAGTCAGCATCACGCAGGCCGCCATTACTTCCCGGGACTGCACCCGGTACCCACTCAAGGCATGGTCAGCCTGGGAGCCATGGTCATTTTTGTGAGAAATCTGGCGCTTTCAGGGAATGAACCCACCGCCTTCTGATCCGCGGCGAGCGTCTATTCGCTAGGCCACGGCGACTACCCCTGTTTTCATTACCTTCCTTTTGTGTATTGTGAGTTTTGTATCGAACCCCGTTTGTAGATATCTTGTTCTTTAAATATTTAAACTAATGAAATGAAAACTGCTCTGTAAAACCACCCAGCCACCAACAAGTAATGGCGCTCGTTTGGGTTGCTATGAACCTGCCGTGCATCTAACGTTAACATTGCTTTTGCAGGACAAGCGCCACTAGGTGAAAGATGGATGTCCATCAAAGGAGACAGTGTTGTCGGAGGAGATGCCAACGTAATCTGCAGCATGGCGGCCCCACCCGGAGTCGCCCTGTATGAACTACTAATATGGATGCTACCGTATGAAAGAAACAATTATCTTTTTTTAATTCAGCCTTTAGCCAAACTAACGATCCCTGGTAGAAGATACCACAGCCGACTTTCTGTAACAATAAACACAACAGGAGAACTAACAACTTCCACGGCCGTGTTGATAACCATGAGAATCTCCAATCTCCAGTGTTATGATGAAGGAGTGTATGCGTGTGTTTTTGGCGTTGCCACCGAAGGGGCCCCAGCTGTTGTTTACAATCTCACAATGCCCCTTAATTTACAAAGTAAGTATTCCGAAGACATCGCAATATTTCTTGAAAGAATAAAAAACAGTTCACTGCTAACACTCTGAATACTCAGGGAATGAAAATAGGGTTGCTTCGGTTAGGGGGTGGGGGGAGCGAGTGCAATGTCACAGTGGATGTGTTATCTTTGTGAATATTATGTGATAAGGCAGCATTGTCTTCCATGGCGCTACTAAAGAACCAGTATCTGAAAAAGTCGAGTACGATCTTTCTCTAAACCGCTGGCTAAGAAGTTTCCTCCTCATGTTCTATGCCGTGTGGCGTTGGTAGTGGTGACATTCCACAACCTTCTGTGTCGTGTACTTTCAATCAATTCTGTCACATATGATCTCCGGTAGTCTATGTCGTGTAGCATTGGTAGTCGTGCCAATCTTCCACCTTCTGTGTCGTGTACTTTCAATCAATTATGTCACAGATGATCTCCCGTAGTCTATGCCGTGTGACATTGGTAGTGGTGCCAATCTTCAACCTTCTGTGTCGTGTACTTTTAATCAATTCTGTCACATATGATCTCCCGTAGTCTATGCCGTGTGGCGTTGGTAGTGGTGCCAATCCGCAGCCTTCTGTTCCGTGTACTTTCAATCAGTTATGTCATAGATGATCTCCCGTAGTCTATGCCGGGTGGCGTTGGTAGTGGTGACAATCAACAACCTTCTGTGTCGTGTACTTTCAACCAATTCTGACACAGATGATCTCCCGTAATCTATGTCGTGTGGCGTTGGTAGTGGTGCTAATCAATTCTGACACATATCCTCTTTTATGCCGTGATGTCACACTGTTCAGCGGCTTCTCTCTTGGTCTCTCTGCTCCCTTTTCTTTTCAAACTTTTCCACACTGTCACAACATACTCTGATTTGCTCCGTTTCATGACATGACCAAAGAATGTAGATCGTCTTTTTGATTTGGCCAACCAGTTCTTCCTTGTGCCATTCCCTTTGACAACATCTTCGATACTCGTCTTCATTTGTCTAGGATATTTTCACCATGAATTCGTAAACCCACATCTTTCCCGCTACCATACGATGTTTCACAAAGGAGTTATATTTCTAAGATATCTAGCCAAGATAAATTACTTCTGGCCCCGCTACAACGTGTTTTAACGGATTGTACCAACATCACGTAGGAGGTTAACAGAATGTCGCTCCAATCCAAACGTTGCAAGTCACAGGTCAAGTTTCCTGTCCTTAAACCTTGTCGTCTTCTTGTGAGATGCAATTTTTACTTTCATTTTGAAGCCCTACCCTTGCCAGGGGCCGCAATATAGCCCGACCATAAATATGGTCTAATGACTGAACGCGGTTTCCGGAACCTCTCTATGGGTGATCTTCATCCACATGGTGGCACTTTGTGTAATCGGGTTTTTATCGCTTGTGTGATGTCCTGGTGGAGTAGAAAGTCAGTCAGTCAGTCAGTTTGTTTCCTGCCCCACAGACTCTCTTGTCAAAGATGTATCTAACATCCAATGATCGTCTTAGTGCAGATCGTACCCAGTACCCTGCCTTCCGCTATTGTTCTTTCGAGTTCACTGCGAAATCTGAAATGGCCAAAGTATTTCAGTTTCCGACACAGGATACTATTTATGAGCTCATGTTCCTCGATGTTCAAATCTTTTAGGATGTCCAATTGTGGGTGTGTGTGTGTGTGTGTGTGGTTTTTTTTTTTTTTTGGGTCCATGGTATTTAAGCAGCGCGCTGCATGTAAAGTTATATGTTGCAAACGTTGCTAAATATCACATTTCATGTATCAGTAAGTTACCGTTACACCTGTTAGATCGTATCTTCAGAAGTAGCAGAAGTAGTAACTAGACGCTCACCCGTCAGCTAGACAGTCTGGAAACCAATCCACCCAAAGACGGATTTGTGTGTGTGTTGACTCCCAGGTTGACCCAGCCAAAATATAAATACCAGGAAAGGATTTGGAAAGTAAAGACGGGCGGATTCATGTTGACAACATCACTCACTGAAAGCCTATTGGTGAATAAAAACAGATGATTCTAAGAGCATTCGCCCGTTGTGCTACATACGTAAAAAGTGTCTTTCTTTCGTTTTTCTTCTTCTTCTTCTCATTTTTCTTTGTTCACCAGATGTAAGCTCCGGAGCAACGTTTTGGTTATTTGTCCGTTTGGACTTAGCTTTGTACCGCCTGTTCCCTGTTACTGAATCGTATCAGATGTCACAAAGTTCTTGAGTCGGTTTCTTGCCTCGATTTATACCTTGTGTAATCCAACAAATCAGTCCTTAAGAAATAGAATAGGGCCTTCTGACATGAAATGCTATAGAAATATTCTCAGAATATCTTGGACAAAGAAGAGGAGAACTACTGACATCTTGAAAAATCTGAACATCAAGGAAGATTGGCTAATAAACAGCATCCTGCCTCGGAAGCTGAAATATTTTGGTCATATCAAGCGCCATGACGGATTGGAAAGAATTATAGCAGAAGGCATGGTACCAGGAAGGAGGGGTAGGGGCACCGACACAAACATGGGCACAGAATATAGGTGACTCATTGAGTATAAAAGTACATGAGGCGGGAGAGCTGGCGAGAGACCGAGCTTCTTTCAGTCAGATTGTGATGAGAGCCACTTTCTGGAAAGGACCTGCTACATGATGATGATGATGATGAATCCAACAAATGGAGTGATGCAATGACGTGTGCTTCTATCATCATTCCCCCTACATAATATAACAAATTCCTCTGATATTTGTATCCTTTCTTTCGGCTAGTTTCACAGATTGTTTAAATCATGTCTCTCATCATCATCATCATCATTATCAGGTGCTTTGCCGACTGGCGTGGGCGATCATGCCTCTCCATAATCTGCGATCTCCTGCAGCTTGTATCAGTTCGTGTGCCGACACACCTCCATGCCATGCAACAAGACTGTCTGTCAAGCATCTTCTCTCGTTGTCTTCCTCTATCTCTTTTTCCACATATCTTTCCAATGGTCACAACATGTTCTTTTTTCCCTCTTCTCATAACATAGCCGAAAAAGGATGACTGTCTGCTTCTGATGTCTGTGATAAGTTGTCTTCGGGCTGCCGCCTCTTTCAAAACCTCTTGGTTGCTCTTTTTGGCTGTCAAAGGTATTCTAAGCATTCTTCTGTAAAACCACATCTCCGCGGCCTCCAGAAATTGTTTGGCCTGCCTACCTATTGTCCAGGATTCACAAAACGTTTTTCATTTTATAAAATGCAGTTTTTGCCTGTCCTATTCTATTTCTTATCTCAGTTATGCCTCCTCCATCTGATGTTATCCATGTGCCCAGATACTTAAATTTCTGTACTTGTCCTAAAATAACACCATCAACTTTTATTACACACTTAGGAATAATTCGTTTCTTTGATACCACCATTACTTCTGTCTTCCCATTATTCAAACTGATGCCCATTCTTCCACTTTCTAACACCTCCAATGTCTATCATTTCCTGTAGTTATTTTTGACTTGTTGCTATCAAGACTGTGTCATCTGCATAACGTAAATTGTTTATATTGTGCCCACCAACCACAATTCCGGGCATATCAATTAACGATCTCATTATATAAATATATAAAGCGTGTCTCTGACATTTTAAATTCCCGAGACAGACGGTTCAGCATGAAGTTACCTGTACCTTTCTTAAGTTCATTTCTCTTTCCATTTGGAGGGACACAGTAGTGAGCTGAAATCCTTTTCTGGAACAGCTAAGTTCTTGTAAACAACATTCTGACAATATTTTGTATGATAGATTATGTTGTCCTGTTCGGAGCATGAAATGATTTGAAGGGCTTATTGAGAGTCCTTGAATATAACAGCTTTTTATCTGGTTCGACTAGGTTATTGAGAATGCATAGCTTTGAAAGTGGAAATGCAGCATCTGTTCTGAGGTTGTTACACATGCAGCTCCTAAATATGTCTCTCTGTTGTCGTTAGGGCGTGTAAAGTAGATCCATTATCAAAAACATCTATGCGTAACACGTGTCCACACACTGTAGCGACACTTTAGCATGTGAAAAAACTCTTTACTGTGGCTCAGTCAGTTCTTTCTTTGAGATGATTGATGTGACTTCCAGAACTGTGCGGGATAAATCTGGACAGCTAATCTATAGTTCTGGTGTGAGAGATCGCTCGGCACTGTGTTGATTTTCTCTTTGCTTGATGTGTCACAGTTTGTCTTGCAAGATGACTGATACTTTTTCTTCAAAGCATGTTTACACTTTGGGGTGGGGGGGGGGGGGGGGGGGGGGGGGGGGGGGGGGGGGGGGGAGGAAGGGGGGGAATAATTCAGCAGATGTTTATAAGCATTAGGTTTTTTGTTTTTGTAACTAATGAGAGTTGTGTGCAGTCTATGTAATTTGAGGAGTTCCAAGATAAATGTTTTATTTGTTTGACTTTTGGACTGATTTAGCCGAGTTAGGGTGTTGAAAGTGGATGGTAATCCTCTGTTGGAGCCGAATGTTGAGGGGGCGGGGCATACCAAACGTGACATCCTACACTGTTTCAGCGATTTCGGTGTTGGGGAGGGGGGGGGGGCGCATTAGGATGGAAACTAATGACACGTACGTATTCGAGGACACAAAAAATGAAAATATCTGCCCCCCCCCCCCCCACCCCACTTTCCTCTCTTCCTGCTGCCTTATTTTTATTCAATTCCCACCAAATGTACCTAATGCTACCACCCCAACCCCCTCCAACCATGCTACCGCCCCTATACCCCTCCAACCATGCTACCGGCCCCAACCCCCTTCAATCATGCTACCGGCCCCAACCCCCGTCAACCATGCTACCGACCCCAACCCCCTTCAACCATGCTACCGCCCAACCCCCTTCAACCATGCTACCGCCCCTATACCCCTCCAACCATGCTACTGGCCCAACCCCCTTCAACAATGCTACCTCCCCAACCCCTCCAAAAATGCTACCGGCCCCAACCCCTCTAACCATGCTACCGGCCCCAACCCCCTTCAACAATGCTACCGTCCCAACCCCTCCAACCATGCTACCGGCCCCAACCCCTTCAACCTTGCTACCGCCCCAACCCCTCCAACCATGCTACCGCCCCAACTCCCTTCAACAATGCTACCGCCCCAACCCCTCTAACCATTCTACCAGCCCCAACCCCCTCCAACCATGCTACCGCCCCAACCCCCTCCAACCATGCTACCGCCCCAACCCCTTCAACAATGCTACCGCCCAAACCCCCTCGAACCATGCTACCGCCCCAACCCCCTTCAACCATGCTACCGCCCAACCCCCTTCAACCATGCTACCGCCCCAACCCCCTTCAACCATGCTACCGCCCCAACCCCCTCCAACCATGCTACCGCCCCAACCCCCTTCAACCATGCTACCGGCCCCAACCCCCCCCCCAACCATGCTTTCGGCCCAAACCCCCTCCAACCATGCTACCGCTCCAACCCCCTCCAACCATGCTACCGGCCCTACCCCCTCCAACCATGCTGCCGCCCCAACCCCCTCCAACCATGCTACCAGCCCCAAACCCTCCAACCATGCTACCACCCCAACCCCTTCAACCTTGCTACCGCCCCAACCCCTCCAACCATGCTACCGCCCCAACCCCCTTCAACAATGCTACCGCCCCAACCCCTCTAACCATTCTACCAGCCCCAACCCCCTCCAACCATGCTACCGCCCCAACCCCCTCCAACCATGCTACCGCCCCAACCCCTTCAACAATGCTACCGCCCAAAACCCCTAGAACCATGCTACCGCCCCAACCCCCTTCAACCATGCTACCGCCCAACCCCCTTCAACAATGCTACCGCCCCAACCCCCTTCAACCACGCTACCGCCCCAACCCCCTCCAACCATGCTACCGTCCCAACCCCCTTCAACCATGCTACCGGCCCCAACCCCCCCCCAACCATGCTCCCGGCCCAAACCCCCTCCAACCATGCTACCGCTCCAACCCCCTCCAACCATGCTACCGGCCCAACCCCCTTCAACCATGCTACCAGCCCCAACCCCCTCCAACCATGCTACCAGCCCCAACCACCTCCAGCCATGCTACCAGCCCCAACCCCTCAAACCATGCTTCCGCCCCAAACCCTTCCAACCATGCTACCGGCCCAACCCCCTCCAACATGCTACCGGGCTCAACCCCTCCAACCATGCTACCGGCCCCAACCCCTCCAACCATGCTAGCGCCTCCAACCCCCCTCCCCACTTCCAACCATGCTACCGCCCCAACCCCTCCAAACATGCTACCGCCCCAACCCCCTTCAACCATGCTACCGCCCCAACCCCCTTCAACCATGCTACCGCCCCAACCCCCTCGAACCATGCTACCGCCCCAACTCCCTCCAGCCTTGCTACCGCCCCCAAAATTTGATGGTGACAGCTACCGCCCCACTGCACAGTCCCCGCGCCCCCGTGATAGAGTGAAGCGGTAGCGCCCACGATGGCAGCAGCCAGCTAGATTCTTCAATATACTTCCTTTTAAACGTATCGGTTTTGCCTTTCATGAAGAGTTGACAAAGCAAACCAAGAGGGCGGGGGGTTCCACTACATGGACAAAACACTGCGACTACAGTACTGCAATTGCTTTATGATATGAACCTCGATTTTAACCTTGCTATGGAGAAGCACGGCATTCCTCCCAACAGTATGAATGAACGTCTTTCTACTTCGTCTTTCCTAGGTCGTTTCTGTCTTTCGGGGTCCGGTTTTGAAGAGGACATTATCAAAGACTAACCAATGTAAAATCACCACATGTGAGTGCCAGACTTGAACATTATCAAAGACTAACCAATGTAAAGTCACCACCTGTGAGTGCCAGACTTGAACATTATCAAAGACTAACCAATGTGAAATCACCACCTGTGAGTGCCAGACTTGAACATTATCAAAGACTAACCAATGTAAAATCACCACCTGTGAGTGCCAGACTTGAACATTATCAAAGACTAACCAATGTAAAATCACCACCTGTGAGTGCCAGACTTGAACATTATCAAAGACTAACCAATGTAAAATCAACACCTGTGAGTGCCAGACTTGGACATTATCAAAGACTAACCAATGTAAAATCACCACCTGTGAAATGAGATGCTTGAGAACAGTCAACTTAACCATCCGAGACAGAAATGATATTATCAGACTGTAGGAGCAACACCGTTTAGCAAATTTATTGAGAAACAGAAGATCAGATGGTTTGGTCGTTTAGTAAGGATGCATCCATAACAACTACCAGCCCAGGCGCTACACACGAAGTGATCTGAAGTGAAAGCAAGAGGCCGTCCTATGAGAAGATGGATTTATGACATTAAAGAGCTTCTACATCGACACGGAATGACAGTAGCCATTGTTGCCCATCAAGCAATGGATCGCAAACTGTTACTCCCCACAACGCTTACCGACACAAGTGGAAACTAATGGTGATGATATTTTATCTACACATGGCTTTGTATAGTTTACTTCTGGATCTGTTTTTATTATCTTTAAGTGACAGGGCTCTCTGTAGAGCAAGATCCTGTGGTAAACTTTACACATATGCGAACCATTTGATCTAATGGTACTTTATCGTTTGGAAAGGTGTTAACAACAAGAAAGAGTGACTTGCGTGGTGACTTGGATTAAAGTGAGGAAGAGCTGCGCAGTGTCGTCGACCTCACTCACTCGCCTAAGTCATATCTGGGTTCAGTGGCAAGACAGATTTAAGACGACTGGAGATATGTCTAGGTGCAGTGGATCACCAGGGCGTTCTACGTGCCTCGCCATGGTCTATGTGCTCCACAGCGCTTTGCTAGTGTCGCCGTCTTGCCCGTTGAACCAAATATAGTTTCCTCCGCGCATTGTTCGACACTAGTCTTTGCATTCTTGGATAGGCAGATCCTAACTCACCGATGGTGTAAACAACAAGACAGGTATTGACTAACCTACGTTTGATATTCCCAGATGCGCATGAACCGCCATTGGTGACACAGGTATTGACTAACCAACGTTTCATATCCCCAGATGCTCATGAACCGCCAGTGGTGAGACAGGTATTGACTAACCAACGTTTCATATCCCCAGATGCTCATGAACCACCAGTGGTGACACTAAAGCCAAAAAATCTTCACCCTGTTGAGAAATACTATTTTGCATACGAAGGAGTTACGGTTACCGTAAGCTGTTCTGCCGATCTGGGTTGGCATGGCACGGGAAGATTAGAATGGAGAATTCAACAGGGGGATAGGGTGAAAATTGTCGAACAAGGTGATCTCCGACTTAAGCCTCAAATCCCAGGTAAATATCTTTTGAACCTGACTTTTTAAGTATCTGCATATTTGTTAGGACCAAGCCACAAGTACGTAATAGTTTGTGTTTTGAGCTAGGGCACGTTATGTGTTAGGACTATAATACATATAAACACAAGGACTAGCTCATATACTAGTATGTAGGACTAGGACACATTCATACACTTGTCTATATTATGACTAGGGATGTTATATGCTATGAATAGGACACGCTATGTGCTAGTAATAGGACATGCATTATGTAGGAATAGGACATGTTCCTTCTTGCACGTGTCTGTCTTAGGACTAGGACACGCTCGTACGCTTTTGTGTGTTGAAACTAGTAGGAATAGGACATGTTCCTTCTTGCACGTGTCTGTCTTAGGACTAGGACACGCTCGTACGCTTTTGTGTGTTGAAACTAGGACACCACTGATATAGTTTCCGTCTTAGGACTGGGACACGCTATGTGTTAGGACTAGGACACGCTATGTGTTAGGACTAGGACACGCTATGTCTTAGGACTGGGACACGCTATGTGTTAGGACTAGGACACGCTATGTGTTAGGACTAGGACACGCTATGTGTTAGGACTAGGACAGACTATGTGTCTAGGACTAGGACACGGTCATGCGCTCCTTATGTGTTAATGCTAGGAGATGCTCATACATTTGTGTACGGTAAACAAAAGTTTCCGACTATTGTGTGTTGTGACTGGTATATAAAACATAGGTCTTACCCTATCTGCTCAATAGACCTAAAGACGTGGAAAAGGTTCCCTTACAGAGCAAATCGGTATCTTCATAGAGGTTGGATGCATGACAAAGCCATCAACTGCAATCTCCACACAGGTCACTGTTAAATATAATCAGGAATGAGGTCATATGAGATAAAGTTGGCACTGAACCAATTATAAATTAGATACAAAGATGGCAAATCAAATGGTTTGCCCGTTTGGGGAGAGAATGCCTGCTGATGATATACCATGCAAGCCATATACCAAAAGAGGAGAGAGACGTAGAGGAAGAGATAGACCAAGAATAATATGGGAAGATAACATTAGTGAAACTCTCCAGCACCACGATGTGTCTATGTTCGATGAATCCAAAGGAGCACAAAGCAGGACCTAATATGTCCCTTAAGAAAAAAAAAGATATGTTTGTTTTTAAAACTCACCATTCTTGAACATGCTGTTGTGCATTTCGTCTCTTTCAATTGTAAAAATAGAAGAGTGCAAATATATATTAACCAATTATTTGTATGTTCGCAGACCTAACTAGTAAAGGCGACCTTAACTGCACCCGATATGTGAAGCAGTCGTTTCAGCTTTCAGCTGGGGCAGGGCGTCAAGCAACAATCCTCGCATGCTTTGTGGTGAATTCACTTTATGCAAATAAGACTCGACATTTCTGCACAAACGCCGACGCTGATATGTGCCGTCAGTCTCCTGCTATTTGGTTCTGTGAGTTGAACTTTTATCCAGAGTTGACATGAGGTCATCTTCAGATATAATATTTAGACTTACAGGAGCACAGTTATTTCTCTTGCACCACTTAGTGGCGGTGATGGATTTAGTCATAAGCTTAGAGGGCTATTCTAAAATCAACCTCTGACTTGTTGGTAACTGTGTACTAGAGTGACACCGTTCATTACTTGCATCATTCAGTCGCCTTCTAGTTCATCCAGGCTCAGTAAGTCGCATTTTTTGAGTGGTTCACGAAATGCGAACGAAGAAAGATGGACACTGGTATGGACTTTCTCGCCAGCTGGGAAATTCGTAGTATGATTCTTCTTCATCAAGCAGAAGGTCTGTAGGAAGATTTGAAATTGTGACACTGCGCTTTTCCATCACGAGTTGGTCCACTTTTTTTTAATAGGATTATGTGTCACGCACGAATCTCTTCCTTGCAACCCTTATGACACATATCTTTACACTCATTTTTGAATTCCCTGCACCATGCTTTGCTTAGCATACAACTTATCACTTACAAAATGTGACCTTTTATTACCGCACTCACACAGACACACACTTGGCGGAACACACACACCTTTCGCACAAAAAAACACACACCACAAGGAATTTCACAACTGACACAAAAGGCAGCAACAGTGTCCATATTTATTCGTTCGCAATTCGTGAATGTCTTAATAAATACGAATGCAGGCTGATGTGTGGTAGGCTAGAAGGCTGCTGAATAAAGCACGCAATGAATAGTGTCGCTATGACAAACTGTGTATTTTCACCGGCCAATTGTACGCCATTTTGGAATAGCCATCGCAAAGTCAACGCAGTTTAGAGACTCACAATTTGCAGGTGCCTCACCAACTTCCTTTTTTTCTTGGTGTGCTAATAAATACTATAGTTTTTTAATAGAGCCTTCGAGAGAATTAAATAAAAAAAATTGATGTGATTGTGCGGATACATTGTCTTGTACTAAAAATTAAAGGACAGATTATTTTCCCATTATTGGGGCAGAGTGACATAATTAAACGATGGACAGAGTACACGGGGAATCTGTATAATGATAATAGACAAGAAGTATGTTTACAGGACAACAGTGACGGCCCACCAAAACTGGCCAAATAAATTAATCATGCACAGCATAACATGAAGAAAGGAAAGACACCTGCACCAGACAACATCACATTAAAAGAAATTTAGGCTTTGGGACATTTTGGAATTGAAATAATAAAAAAATTGTTAAACAAATTTATAATTGTGGTTACATTCCTATTAACCTATTACCATCTAGATTGTTTGCTCTGCCAAAGACACCAGGCACTTTACAATGTGAAGACAATCGCACTTTAGGTCTTATGAGCCAGTTGACAAAAATAATACCGTGATTAACTATGAGAAGAATAAAAATAAGACCATGTATAGAAATCCTCTTTAAATGTATTTGTTTATGCATGTCCTATTGTTATCAATATATATATATATATATATATATATATATATATATATATATATATATATATATATATATATATATATATATATATTATATATATATTTGCACATATATGGAGCCGCGGTGGTCTGACGGCTGGGTCGTAAGGTCGTTCAAGGTGTCTCTTATGGGAGCCGAACATTTTCAAAAATGACCTTGGTTCCACGCCATGAGTGGGTACCACATGCAGAATTGGGAAGTAAAGGCGGCCGGCGTGATGCTGACCATATCACCCACTAAGTGCTGTTTGGTCTATAAAATATAGGTCTAGCCCGATACATCCAAAATATATATACATATCTAAAAGTGTATATATTTACAGTTTAGCACATAGTGGTATTATTATTTATTATTATGCTACTAAACTAGGATTATGTCAGTGGTATTATTATTTATTATTATGCTACTAAACTAAGATTATGTCAGTGGTATTATTATTTATTATTATGCTACTAAACTAGGATTATGTCAGTGGTATTAATATTTATTATTATGCTACTAAACTAGGATTATGTCAGTGGTATTAATATTTATTATTATGCTACTAAACTTAGATTATGTCCATTGACAATCTCTGTCTTCTTGACTAGACAAGGTATGAGGCAGGGGAGGATTTCTGAGGACTTCCTCTACCTCCGCTCTCTTTGTGTCGGCTTGAGTGATAAAGGCTGGTAGTGGTCACCAGAAGACAGCCTAGAGCAAAGAAAGGGGACCGGGGGGGTGGGGGGGGGCGGGGGTCGGGGAATGACCTACAGGCAACAATTGGCACGCTAAGCAATCTCTACTGGCCCGTGAGGCAGGTGTAAAATATGTAAAATAGCAGAACACAAGACACGTCTGCAGAAAGGAACAAATCTAAATGACACACACACACACACACACACACACACACACACAATAGACACACACACTTACACGTGCGCGCGCACTCATCCACACAATGATAATCCAAACTGTGATTACCAAAAACTAAATATTGTTTCCTGCCGATAAAGCATCTGTTGCGGGCAATCACAAACCATGGGAGGCAGTGGCTGTTGCGGGCAATCACAAACCATGGGAGGCAGTGTCTGTTGCGGGCAATCACAAACCATGGGAGGCAGTGTCTGTTGCGGGCAATCACAAACCATGGGAGGCAGTGTCTGTTGCGGGCAATCACAAACCATAGGAGGCAGTGTCTGTTGCGGGCAATCACAAACCATGGGAGGCAGTGTCTGTTGCGGGCAATCACAAACCATGGGAGGCAGTGTCTGTTGCGGGCAATCACAAACCATGGGAGGCATTGTCTGTTGCGGGCAATCACAAACAATGGGAGGCAGTGTCTGTTGCGGGCAATCACAAACCATGGGAGGCAGTGTCTGTTGCGGGCAATCACAAACCATGGGAGGCAGTGTCTGTTGCGGGCAATCACAAACCATGGGAGGCAGTGTCTGTTGCGGGCAATCACAAACCATAGGAGGCAGTGTCTGTTGCGGGCAATCACAAACCATGGGAGGCAGTGTCTGTTGCGGGCAATCACAAACAATGGGAGGCAGTGTCTGTTGCGGGCAATCACAAACCATGGGAGGCAGTGTCTGTTGCGGGCAATCACAAACCATGGGAGCCAGTGTCTGTCGGCCGACTTTGAAAAATATAACTCAAGGGCCGTTCTTGTATTCTTTGGTCTGGTCGGTATATTTGTGTAACAGAGGAAAGCGGTACGCTTTCTGTAATATCCCACAAAAATATAACATGACGAGTAAATCTGCTCCTATGTTATTATTATTATTATTTGTTTTTATATGTATTGCCTGTACCCAGGTTGCTAATTCTAAGTTTGGCCCACACCGAAAAAAAAGCCTGCCCAGTTGTGCTATACAAATTATTTCCGATTCAGCCCTGGATGTCAAAACTTTTCAATCCACACAGTATCCAAGCCCGACCTTAAGAATCTCGTAACTGGAATTGGCATGGCATTTGTGTGGCTGACTGTAATCATCCTTCTCCTTTTAGGGGCCTCACAACTTTGTAAGCAGTTAGTATATGGTTGTTTGTTTTAACTGTTTGTTATCTTGTTCATGCGTCTGTGATTTAGGTGTAATGAAAGTACTCTTGTAATTCCGATACACCAAGTTATGTTCAGCTGTAGGTATATTTTAAATAGAACCCTATGTGTTGTTTTCCATAACGTTTTGAACCGGGAAACGTTCAGATAACAGTAGACAATGTTTGAATCTGAAACTGATGACAATAGAGGCAGATATAATGTTTTGACATTTACACTCACGGAGAAAGGAGCTTGTTCCTGGCTGGTGAATTAGATAGCAACTGTCCTGCATTCATATAAAGTGGCCCTCAGCCTGACTACGCGGACTTCAGAAGCATGCAGTAAGGCATTTAGGCAGGGAAGCGACAGGAAACGGACATTCCAGGAACTACAGGCAACTGTAGACGCTTGAAGTTTAAACAGCGGACCAACATCATGGCACACGGGTAGTAACCCATAAGTACTCCGTTCTTCTTCTAACTCAAGTCTGAGTCCGAAGGAGCTCAGCACAGTGCACAGCCTCTGTAGCACCGACGATAAACCTAAAATGCTTTGGTTAGCTATTTAATTCCAAATTTTGCACAGGCAGCGCCGTTACGCTACTCTTTGCGATTTGCAACTGCCAAGGGATTTTTTTCCCGCAAAAATACACACGGGCGTCCGATCTCACTACCATAGACCAGAGGGAATTACTAGAAGTCCAAGTCCACGTGAAAAAATCCCCGCCCTTACTGGGGATTGAACCCTGAACCTTTAGCCCCCGATGCGGACACCATGCCTCGAGACCACACAGCGCCCTCAGCTGTAGACAAAGTGACTGATTGGTGTGTACAAATGGATGCTGACATCAACTCAGAAAAACTGGGCTGTTTTATGCTTCTTTCTGGACAATAGAATTGTGAGAGCCGTATTCCTTGTCTTACACGTAATGATATAAACATCAAAAGAGAAAGCAAACTGAGGAACTTGGGTATCACTTTCGATAAAAGCCTTTCCTTCAGGGATCACGTGCAGACAGTTGCGGTAAAATGCCAAAGAAGGACACAATGCTTGTAAGGTTATGGCAGCTTTAGACATAGAACAAAGAACTTGTTCACAGTATTCCCGTAATCGCTCCTGTCGGTGATAGAATATGCGAATTTGAATGCAAAGTGTCAGCTGATGAAACTGAAACGCATAGAGAATGAATCTGCGAGTAATTCTAGGATGTACATAAGATACCCCGGGAGTGTGTATGTGATATATACTTGCACTGCCAACTATTACAGATAGGCTAAAAGTTATGTAAGCTAAGTCATATCTCAGAGTAGCCTTAAACAAGAAACACTCCTGGATGAAACCCTAGACAGAACTAAGGGCTATTGAAAAGAGGACGGTCGTAGATGGTGCAAGCTAAAGACACAGTGAGACATATGTGTAAGCTCAAAAATATTGGGCTCAGAGGTGTGTACCTGCGACGGCTTTATGTTGTAAACTGTAATT